CACGTGCAAACAAAATCAAAATGGTTACCCCAGATACCCTGCGCTGCCAGAGTGTGTGTTGCTGCAAATATTTATTACAGCTTAATGAGCAGAGGCGGTGTTTACATTCAAATACACATTTAGAGGACAAATGGATTTGCACAGTGCAGAAGGGGGACAAATGTCACAGGAGAGGAAGGCTCAGACTTTGGTATTTGTGAGGATTAGGCAGAATATCCCAAGCAGAGAAAGGAAAGGATGGGGAAAGGCAAGACAGCCTGCCCATTCCTTCATATTTGTAATGCTCTCTTTTTATTCCTTTCTTTTATTCATGCTTTCTTTCCCTTTGCATCCTCCTCCTCCCTTTTACTCTTTCTTCCTTCAACTGCCACAATTACTGGCCCTGCCCCATCTCTCCTTTTGCCATTTGCTCCATCCCACCAAACTCACCAGCAGCATGAGCAGGAGCACAGACACCTGCCCCCGGCTGCATCAGGGCCCCCCCCCAGACAGCGGCAGGGATGGCTGAGCTGCTTCTGGCCCCACCACATGTAGCAGCACCCCAAAAACAGCTCCATGCTGCCCTGACAGTGTATGCCTTCAGGCTGGCTAGGGCCGCCGTGCACTGCTAGGCTTCGCAGAGGGCAGACTGACATCAGTATTTCAGGACAGAGCTGCAAGTAGTCCCCTAGGTACAAAAGCACTCATCCAGCATACTATTAATTATGCCTGCTCAGCTGGCCAGGACAAAACATTATTTTCTGTTAAACCAATAGGGACAGGCTGTGAACACAAGGGACCCTCCAGATTTTCAGGAACTCTTGATTACTGCGTGTAAACGCATGGTCTCAGCCACTCAGAGAGGGGTGCGGCCAGGGAGGGCAAGAGGCAGGAGCATGGGATGGGAAAAGCGTTTGAAGAGAGCAGTTACATCTATTTTTTTTTCTTTCATGGGTTGGATGGCAGGAATTTGTCACCAGAGAAATTATTTCTCAAGCCTCCAGATGCATTCAAAATAAAGAACAATGGACCACATGATAAGCCTTCTGCAGCCTTCACCACAAAAGAGATGCCGGATGTTTTTTTCAGCACTGACAATAGCTTTCATGCACTTTTGTGTTATGTAAAATTAGGATTTTTACTGCCAGAACAGAGGCATTTCCTGCTGGATTATACTGAAGTGAGCCTATGAGACCAAGAGATCCCCAGTTGTTGGTCTCATTTAAAATTTCAGTGAAACAGTATGGTCGCTGAAAAGCTGCCTATCTTTTAGCATTATCGTTGCAGAGATGTGTAACAATTACAGCTGAAGCGCTTTGTCTACGCTTAGGAAAACAAGTGAACAGCTAACCTTTTCCCCTTTGGTCCTAAAAGAAAAAAAAAAAGACTTCTTTTTTTTGCTTTTTGAATAAAAAGAAATGAAATTCAGAGACATAAAAAGCCAGGTCAAGGGCTTGTCACTGGTGATGGCTATTATTCCTGTTACACAGACGGATTTCAGCAAAAAGGCCAGACAAAAATGATTTAAGAGCATCTGTCTCTGCCTTCAAATGCCACCTCAGCAAGAGAACAGGGAACAAGGCAAATGCTTGAAGACAGTAAATAAATATAAATACACAGCAGGCTTAGCACCCTAGGGGAGAAATTACTGTCCCAGGTACATTTCTCCCCTTGCAGCCATACAACTGCTGACAGACCGACAAGAATGCTGATGGTACAGGAGGAATAGCACGAGCCTTGGGAGAAGACTTCCTCATTTGGTGGAAAAAGAAATAGTCAGTCCAGTGGCCAATAATTTTAAAAAAAGGTTGCCAAATTCAAGCCTCCTGAATTCCTGCCTGGATTTTTCCAACAGCATCAAGGTGGATGTTGGAGCTGCTAAGCTCACAGCGCTTCAAAAAACAAGCCTGTTAGGAAAGCATCCCCAAAAGAACAGCCAATAAGTTTAAGCATACCTCTAAGTGTTTCCCCCATCAACCCCCACGTGATTTCTTATAATCGAGGAACTATCTGAAAAGAGATGGGCCTCAGGGATTATATCACAAGAGCAAAAGCCTCATTTTTATATTATTTCTCTGTATCCTTTCTCTGAAAGGGGAGCCAGACACAAAAAAACACTTTGAAAGAAAAGCAGCTGTGGTGAAACACCTACAGAGGTTAATGCTGAGAGTCACTCTGAGTGACTCTCAGGTGATCCAGTTACAAAAATATCCTTAAAAGGAAGAAAAATAAGCCTATAAATTAACAGAGCATGCATACACCAGGTGAAGGCATTGTTGCACACTGGTAGTAACAGCAGTTAGGTTACCCAGCACAGACCTAGTATACTATTGGATCGCTAGCCAAAGCTGGTACTACTCCTCCTTTATCAGACAGACTGAAGCTAGAGCAAGTACACAGCCCCAAGCTGCCGTCAAACCTCCTCGCTCTGGTTTTGATGCACCCTGGATAGCCCTGGACCCAAGGTCAGATCCAGGTTGAGAGCTCACAACTTCTTAAATGAAGATATGGTGAAGAGAAGCCCTGAAAGATGAGTATTTAGCAGGTTTTTTCCTTTTTTTTTTTTTTCTCCCCCAGATTTCACTTACAGAAAAATGCCAGGGCATGCCAGCTCTTTGTTGCAGTGGCAAAGGCGATGTGATTAGCAGCAGCTGGCGGGCAGGCAGCGAGCAGGGCCGGGAGCATTGCCTCCTTGTGGTTAAAAGTGAACAGCAGTGAGTCTGCATTTAAGAAAACGAGCGAGCAAGCCCTTCTGAGCTTGTTGCACGCAGACCGCAACACCAAAGCTGTTTTGGCTCTGGTCATTTATACAGCATCCCATGCAAAAAGCACAGAAAGTGCCTTGGCTTATGTCCTCATTCTCCCACGCTAAAAATCAACTGCTGGCAGGTTTTAGGAATAGGTGGAAAAAAACCTCAAATCGATTTCGGGGGGGGGTTTAACCCTGCCTCCTGACTGCAAGGCAAGTCCAAACAAGAATACACTCTGAAAGACTTGAAATCCCCGTCTACTCTTCCTCGGGCTCACAGGCTGACTGAATTCAGTAGCAGCTTTGCTTTCCTAAGTACAAAGCTGAAATTTCCCCCTATCACTTAACCTTTGCCCAAGCTTTTCACCTGAGGCTCAACTCCTTATTAGCAGGTCTTTAAACAGACTCTCTGCCCCAGGGTGGACTCACCCCAACAGAATCTGTTCTACAACGAGCAAAGGAAACAGATTGTGAATTATTTTGCTTTTATCATAAATAACCTCTCCTTCTTGTGAACGGATCTCCAGTCGCCGTTAACTCGAGGCCTACTGCACACAGGAGCTGAACCACAGCCTGAAGAAATCAATACCATTGACTCTAATGAGTTCTGAATCATGCTTAGCACTCCTGGAGATACATCCCACTCTTCCAGCAAAGAAAAATACGGATGTCAGTAGATGCATTGACAGTAATGTATGCTAATGAAGGTAATGTAACCTAACAACATGTGAATTATTGATGTAGGCATGTTTAAACAGAAAAATCAGCAAGGAATCACACCAGACCAATACACTCCAGTGTTTGTTCACCAACAGGCAATTGGAACGTGGTGGTCGTGAGAACACTTATTACCACTTTATTACCTTGAAAGGATTTTTGTTAGGTTATCCATGTCTCACCTGATACATGAGTCATTTAAATTTCACATTGTGTGACACTGTGTTATCTCAATGAGCCATTTGTACTAGCATCAAATGAGCTACTTTTACACATCTATAGTTTCCTCTGAGCTTTTCAGACATTTATGATAAATCATACTGCTTTGCCTGAATTATTTGGCTTAATCTTATTTGTCGGAGTCATAGATAAGGGCTGGTTTAGCCTCTCATTCACAACAATTCATGGAAGTGTAACCCTCCTGAATACAGCGAAGTCGCTCCTGATTGCCATGAGGCACATGGAGGATGAAGCTAGCGCCTTTGTCTGGCACAGCTCTGGTTCCCAGGATGTCGAGGCAGTTGACTAGCTCTATCATAAAATAAACATAGTTTGCCTATCTAGACAGTTTTATCACATCCATCATCATGTTCTCCTAATGTATTTAGAGGAAATTCATTTTGTACCACAGTGAAAACAGGATATGTGTTCAATAATCATCAGTGTTAATTTTACTATTATTCCATTATCCTGTGAGATCTAATCATTCTGTCTGTACTTTCGGGTGAGTTAGCTCCATCTCTGTGGCATCTGGGAACTACATTGCAGACAGGCTTTGTTTTTGTAAGGACTGTTGGGGCATACAGATTTTTACGGTCTCATCATGTTCTCACCAGGTTATACTGACATGCATCATCGCTGCATCAATCTAGACAAAAGATTTCCTAGTACATACTGCATCTAAAAAATTCCAACCACCAAACCGCAGCCAATCGCCGATGCACGTTTCTGGACATTTTAGTGCTGCATTCAGTTCTGAGAGTGTTGAGTGGGCAGGGGAGAAAGCTGTCCCCTGGCTGGAGCCAATCGGGGAAACGAATCCCTGGATTGCTCCATCACCACCCCGCGCATGGGGGAACTCAGCCGCTCTCTTCAGAGAAATCAGCATCGTCAATGCCCAAATAAGCTTTGCAAAGCCACGGAGAAGAAAACAAAGCTTAACTGAGATGATAATTAAAATAGCTGCTTATTTCAGAAGAGTTATCACATTACTCTCAATGCAGGCAATTAATCTTACCGATAATAACGCATTGCAAACTGCTCTTCAGTTTCTCCAGGGCTTGCAAGAGAAACATACTAAGCTTTTTCCAGTTGTACTTGTGAAGGAATATTTGGGGGGTTTGGGAGAGGGAAGGAGTTGGGGGACAGTTGCGCACTTACTTGCCATGTTAAAACAGATAAACACACTATGAAAGGTAACCCCTTTTTATTTATTGAATAAACACTATGCCACAGTTCACATCGCCAGAGACCAGTAAGTCACCAAGGCAGTGAACACCAAGGGGCACATATGTGTGCATAATCATGCAGGAGCGCCATTCGATTTTTGTTTTACCTTTTCCGGAGCCGGGAACTGCAGGTGATTTACTTCCAAAGGTGTGATCAAAGGAACTGTCTGAAAACCATCTTCGTTGGATGGTTGTTTGCTGTTCTTGTCGTTCAAATTACTCCCCAGCTTCACCATTCTTGGACCTTGCTTTCCAGACCTAAAACCGGCAAGACGATCAATGTCACAAGGGTAGCGGGAAGAGGTGGATTTCTGCCTTACCCTGCCCGGTTTCACTTGGCATATGGGTTACCTGGGCTTTTACACCGGGGTTTCTAGACGCACGGCACACCCCGCCACCGCTCGCCTTCACACATGCGTTTTGCCGTACCTCACCCAGACACCCCACAAAAACCCCTCACAAACCCAAGCGCGGCTGCTCCCAACACGCCGCCGCCGTTACCGATTGCGAGTGCCGCCAGCGCCGAAGCAACCGCAAACGTGCGTGGGGATGGGGTGCATCTCCCTTTTGACCCCCCCTCCCCTGTTTCTTGGGGTTTTGGGTTTTATTTGCAGCCCCCTTGAGGGTACAGAAATCCTCCCTTGCAAACCCCGCACCCTGGGTGATTTGGGGGGGTCCCCTCCTCCCAGCTCCCCCCGGGGGGCGGCGGGGCTGGGGGTCGCGCCGCAGAGGGTG